ATTGGCAGAACCATACAAACCTTATGGCGGGCAATTCCTCGAATTCTGCTCCATTTCTTTATCCACATACCAAACATGCATGAAACTTACCAGAAAAAGTACCGAATTCTGCCAATTTTTCTGCCGGCAGAATCCGCCTGACCCTATCAAATGGTCGCAAGACCGGGGCTCTGCCAACCGGTTAACCGTGGATGGAGGTTGTGTAGTAAGGGGCACTGTTTCCGAACACGGTTCGCGCGTCCTCCGCCTTCTAACATGCTGTCAACCAACAACATGATTGATTAGACGTGTAGATGTACATGCACGCACATAGCAGACACCAAAATAAAAAATTAATAGGAACCCGAAACGGCTGTCAAGAAGCGGAAACTATTAGTCAACTAATACTTTGCGTACTTGAAGACACTCGGCGGGGCATCAGAAAAGTCACGGTCCTTATTCACGAAGTGTCCTTATACCCGAACTCATGTAGGGATGAAACGATCATCCATTTTCTTCTTATCGAGTACCGTTTATTATAAACGATCGAGTTATCATAAAACGAGTATGCTGGATATGTACTGTATGACGTACATGTACATGTATCAACATGATACTGGTCTCCGGAACACGATAATACAGTAACACTGTAGACTAGTGCATGAATGACTTGTGCATACTGTACCCCCCCCCCCCCCGAAACACTGTGTATTGAGCAGGGAGTGGTGCTTTCTTGCAGGTTTGCCGAGTCGAAGGTTCGATGGGCTTCTCGGGTGCTCTGGATGGCAGTCGTGAGTCAGTCAAGTGTCGAGTAAAGTCGGCGGAATAGCGCGAGCTCCGGTGTGGGGAGCAAACCCTTTCTTGTAAAATACAGTATGGTATTAATGCGAAGTAACCGTACTGTTGCCTAGCAATCAATTATGGCGTCGGTTCGAGATGGCATGGTAACCGTGCACGTGCCGTGGTCCATGACTTGCTCGAGCGCTCATGTATGCACACACTGTGCAGTCTGTAGCTATTCTCACAAAGATCGTCTTTGCATCTGGAGAGAATATCTTCGACTCTTGTTGGAGGTTGGCGAGGTTCGCCTAGTAATCTTTACTTGATTGCGATCCCGCAGGGGTGTACGCAGGATTCGGAATGAGTGGGTGCTCCAACCTTTTCCCAAAGAATCGAATAATGCATTATTCCTGTCCATGCATGGATGGTTGATATCTTGATTTTTAGTGTGCTATTTACCATGATTTACCAAGTAGAGGGAAAATGTAGGACCTGTTCTGTAGGATGGAGCAACCATGACGCCTTGAAGTACCCAATCCCTCCCTTTGGAGGACGAACTGTATTTCCTCTGCAAGCTACAATGTACTTGAAGTAGGTCCACGTCGAGTATACTACTCTTGCTACATCATAATATCACGAAAACATTTTCAATTTGACTACAATTGTAATGACATGTACTTTGAAGTACTAGTAACAACTTCCAATGGGCAAGAAGGTAAAACTACCATTACAACTTCTGGCAAGAGTAAATAAGCTCCCAGGAGCTTACATACTCTTGCTTCTGGTATGGAGAAATAGAATCAGGTAATAGAGGAAGCAAGTGGAATGGATGTTGGTAGCTTCACAAACAGGATAGTAGCAGAGTGCTGCCATTTTTCTGTTGTTAGGAATCAGAAGCAGTGTCCGAGGTGTTCAATGGCAGGGACCACTTTGGAAGCGTAGCATTTTTAGGATTGCAAGGGCCTGAAACAACAGATTGGTGCTCTTTCGTGAACAATCGTTTCGGTCGGTTTGTCGTAACAACTGATCGGAGTGTTCCTTGATAATCGGAATAGAACAAGTCGAGGCCCTGACAACATGGGTAACCCTCTGTCCTGGCACATGAAAGACGTAGATCTACATGACACACGGTAAACTATGATCAACCAGTGACAGCGAGTGGTAAGGAAATAAATCAGTTAGAAAAATCTGATAATTGCGCCACCAAAAATCGCGTTTAAAAGTCTGGTTTATGAACATCCCCATTTCGTCTTTCAGAGTTTGGGCACAACAATAATCATAGTTTTCTAAATATCAAAATCAATTACTAGTACATTTCAACGAATAGCCTCACTCAAGACTTTTCCAATGGGCCGTCATTTGCGTAAATCGGACAATCGGTGGCAAAGTTATGGTACTTTTAGCGGCATGAGTAGATCTACAACAAGTAACTACAGTAGTTGGCCTATGTCGAAAAATTTGAGGGGGGTGCTTGAGCACCCCCCTGGGTACGCCACTGATCCCAGTACATGTACATGTAATATGTCCTCTCACTAATTTAGAACAAAGAGACCTGATGATCGCTTCATTGCTGAGTAGAAGTAACAGTCTGAAAGTGAATCAACTCTCCTCAGCCTCAGGTCCTCCGCGCCAAAGGCAGGCGACTGCCACAACGCTCATTTGATTTCACGATGATGGAAATAATTTCGTGTGCACACTTGGACCATTCGATCATCCCTATTCTAGCCGCTAGTCCGCCCAGCAAGCAGATATTGACTATTACGATAAGGAGAACTGCGTGAACGAGGGCTCGCTGAGCAAATACAATTCAAGCCGTGACTCCAGTCAAGAATCAGGGGCTTAAAAATCACAAATACATGTACAAGCCGACAAGTACAAGCTTCCCCACGAAAACTGATAGATGCATGGCATGAACGAAGGACAAATAGGCTAGACAAAGTGTCCCGAGTGACTGAAAACAGCAGATCTACCAAAACAGACAGCTACAGGTGCCTAAACAACAATTCATATACAGTAGAGACTAGTATCAGGCAGAATGAAAGCCTCCGAAGTCCACAAAAGTACAGCCAAAAAATTGGACGACCGCCACAAAAAAATTCATTGCTCTGCCTCCTTGAAAGTTGAAGGGTGAAAATTACCAGTTATCCTATAACGATGTCTCAATATGCCTGTGGACCCCCTGTTCCGCAGGACTACACC